GTATGAGGCATATGTAAAAAAACGCTCCCAATATTCAGTATTGCAAGCTTACGGTAAGGCATTGCTACAACTTGATTACAACTGACAGAGTTCTATAGAAACTACATAGGTAGAGGCCGATGACAGACTTTGCGAATCGCGCGAATCGCTAGTAGCAAATCGCGCGATTCGCAAAGTCTGACATCGGCCAGAAGTTGGTTTTCAAAAATGACAAATGAGACGCATTGCCAGCATTTGATCCTACTTTTCAGAAGCTGAAGCCCAAAATCGGGAGATGTTTCTCGATATTTGTTGGAATCATTGCGCCTCATAATAAAAAACACATATAGAATGGAAATCAAAAGATACCTGGATAGAGATTCATTATCGAGACCACTACGCTTGAAGAAATCGACTACTCGAGGATCTCCACCATTTAGGACACCTTCAAGATTAGTAGTTCCCTGAAAACTCGGCTTATCTACAATTCAAACAACTTGATCGTCTTTATGAAAACAAAGGAGCAGTAACCCACTTGAGTATTTTTCAACAAATGTCGAAAGCATCTCGTGTAATACTCCCGTTGACGGTCCGATATCTCATACAGGGCATCTTGACTCGTATATGCCTTACCCCTAGAAACAGTGAGTACACTTGCGAAAATTCGTATGCTGGGAGAAAAGGCAGAAAGCAACACGTCCAGAAAATCAATTAAATTGTAAAATTCAAATTTTTTGTTTTATTTTCCATTTATTTATTCGTGCGTGCAGTTGACGCGTCTAGAAAGAAAAAAATAGAAAACACTGTGGTTAGTCAAGAGGACGGTAGCCCTATTATCTTTACGGAAACTCAGAATTACAGGATGGAAAGACCCCGATAACCCTACTTCCTTCCCAGCATTCCTGGATAGAACCAGCAAAAGATTAACACAGTTGATCCTCTAACGGGGAACAAGGAAATCCTCTCGGAACTTCACAACATCCATACCGAAGACCGGGAACGCTAAGGGTACAGCATAGTGTTCGCCATAATTCAATCTCTTCGACTAGCTCTCTAGTAGACGACACACATGGGAAAAGATGGGAGAACAACGGTGGGTCTGACCTACTGGATGCCTTAATTCCCACGTCTTTTTTTGGAGAACGAAGCACGGAATACACATGCTACCCTTTGCAGTGAGACCGTCATAGGAGAATCTGCAGCGTACGAGGGACTTCACAAAGGAGTATTGCCAGCTGCAAAAGAACTGCTTCAGAGATAACTAGAGAGTAATACAGAGAAAAAATTTATAGTCCATCTACACTCGGGAGGTTACTGAGAGCAACGCTCAAATGTGGGTGTCTACTTTCCTTTCGTCACTGATTGATATTAGGGATAATGCCGTCATGGTCACCTACAGTGTATAGAGGGACCAAATTGCAAGAACTTTTCTTAATTTGGCACTATTCAAATCGGACTCGAACTGGGTTCGCTGAAGATGAAGAAACGATGAGTAGAAAACCTACCTTCGAGGACTGGCGATTATATCAGCAACTGTTTTCGCGAAATCTCCGTTCGCAAAATAAAGTGGTCTGCTCTCCGGGTCTGCTGCCATAAACAGTCTTGATCTGGAGAAGAAATCCACTATCAAAACAAAATAATGGGTTTTTAAATGCGAAAAGAAGGAGGAAAGTTGCTAAAGAAAGCACAGCATACAACAACAACAAGATGAACGGAAGAGTGATAAAAACACCTTTTGAGCAACAATAAGCAGTCATCGGTGGACATTTGCCCGCAACCATCCCTCCAATGAATGAAATGGTTACTATATGTGAATAGGATTCAATGCGGACGGAAAGAGTACACTGGGAGATGATGGGGTGTAGCAAAGGCGATAGTACTACCACGCGAGTGACCCATAAATCAGAGCCCTGCCCGAAGGCCGCCTAGAGTAAATGAGATTTCCATCCCTGCCGAGTCGACAGCGGCTGCATGATTTGTTTGAAAGGCCAATACACTGACTTGCAATTGTAAGTAAGCCAATTGTTGGCTCCGCAAGTCACCGAGTAAGCCGACAACGCATGAGGGCGCATTCATAGTCGGTCGTCCGATCGCAACGATCGCACAGCGTTGGATGCGTATCGATCTTCCAATCCTCGGACACGTCTGACGATCGATACGCATCCAATGCTGTGCGATCGTTACGATCGGACGACCGACTATGAATGCGCCCTGACTAGCGAGTACTGCTGTGGGGCTCATCGCAGAAAGGATCTGATCAACATCGAGTGCTTTTCATTGAATTTGAACTTTGAATCATAGCTCACTTACAGCCGTCACCACATACATGCTTCATTTAGTAGTACCTATTACCTAGGTTTC